CACACACACACACAATAAAAAAGAAAAAGAGACGTTCCAGTTCCGTTCCCCCAAACTCTAACTGAGAGATGTGGAAGAAGAGCACCAGAACTTGGCAGAAGTGGACACTGAAGACATCAAAGAGAGAGAGAGAGAGAGAGAGAGAGACGGTCAATCAGAGCCACAGTGGCACCTCATTCTCCCAATACCTTTTCATTCCTTGCTCTCTTGCTATGACCAGCAGCCAATTGCCAATTAACCTTATCCCTGCTACTTTCCAACCTCAGATTCCCCTTGTTAACATATACATCATGCACAACGACGAAGCTATCTGCATCACATCTGCAACAGTAGCACAGGAACTGCCTGACTGCTTGACAAGATGGTACAGAAACTCAGAAAAGTTTAGAAAACACATTACGCACTTGCTAGTACAGAGAAAGTTAGAGAGAAAAGGTCAGAAAACACATTATGCACTTGCTGGCTAGGTTGTTTTTCCAGGCGCCCGGCCACCCGACTTGTGCCCGGATACACGCCCGGGTACCCGGGTGCCCGGCCGGGCATGACCCCCGGGCAGGGTTCCGGGCAGCCCCAGCGGGAAAAAAAAAAAAAAAAAAAAAAAAACGAAAGTCAAAAAAATTCCCAAAAAAAAAAATGTTGTGTACAATTGCATTACAAACAACTTTTGGCTGAGGGTCACATCAAAATTCCTCACCGAATCGAAGATAAAAAAGAAAATAACAAAATCACACTAAAGGACCCCCTTTGACCTGCAAGAACCCATGCCATATGTCTCATAGAATGTCTGAGGGCCTACTTGGCCGCCCTCAGCCCAGGCCAAAACGGGGGAAAAAGACCCCACGCGGAAATTCAGGGCCTGGACATGAGACAGTTGACTTTTGTCAACTGTTGTGATACCAACAGTCAAAGTCCAAAGGTACCCAGCCCAGGCCGCCGGTCAAGCACACACACTTTTTTGTATGCAGGTACCCAGACAGCATCAGGTCCAAGGGGAAGTCTGCAACTGTACACAATCGGGGCCCTCGGCTGTGAGGCAATCTGGACGACTGAGGGAACAGGAGTCGAGGCCAGACAGCCTCGTCAAATGCTACTTAAAGCCTGGCCTTGAGGTGGTCAGCATTCAGTCTTGCTATGCTGCTTGTGCTCTGGCTCGACTTCGACTAGACGCTGTCATGACGTTGGCGAGACGCTGGCTGGACGCAGGCACTGCGGACGAAGACGACGGTACGCTGGCGCGTTCTGCATTGTGCGCCAGGCATATCACGCTGCCTCTGGTCTATATTGCATGATGATGTGGCGCTGCCTCTGGTCTACATTGCCTGATGATGTGGTGCTGACTCTGGTCTACATTGCATGATGATGTGGCGCTACCTCTGGTCTACATTGCATGATGATGTGGCACTGCCTCTGGTCTATATTGCATGCCGATGTGGCGCTGCCTCTGGTGTAGATTGCATGCTGATGTGGCACTGCATCTGGTCTACATGGCATGCTGATGTGGCGCATGCCACTGGCCTTCATTGATGATGTGGCACATGCCACCTGTCTCGACTGCTGACGTGGCATTGTCCATGCTATCTACATGAGGTGAGGGAGATCAGGATCTGTGGATGATTGGGATCGGGTACTCACCTGAGGTTGACGTCGTCACTGTAATCTGCTGGGACTGCATGGTCTTCACGAGATAAGAGTGCCACGTCGCACTATTGTGTGATCAGGATTATTATACTTGTTATCAGATATTGGTTGTTGCGTGGAGAGGGAAGAAGCCCAGAGAAGGAGTGGGGTTTTGATGGGATTACTCTTGTGTGATCTTTGATCATCTCTTCCACCTTCTCCTCTGTCTAATCCCTCTCCACTCTCTTTGTCTAATGGTAATGAGATACTGTTTCAGATTTCACTTCACGATAATTAGAGACTTTGTGGCAGATACCGAGACTACTGGCTTTGACGACTGATGAGTATCCACCGGACTGGGTTCATTACAATTTGGTATCAGAGCTAACTCCATCGCAATCTGCTGTCAGGTGTCAGGTGCTGACGTGGCACCCAGGTAAGTGGGAGGTGCCGCATGTGCAAAACGAAACGTGTTTATTAACGCACGCGGTAAATACCGCAAGTCTAGACATTGTAGTATTGCACATGCGAGCAGCTGTCCCTTGAAGATGATGACGTGGCTGCACTGAAAACTTCAATATACCGGCAAGAGCTTCATTGGCAACAGGCTGACGTGGCGCTGGTGCAGAGAGAGATTGGTACCGCTGATGTGGCGCATTGCTTATGTGGCATGTTGTGGAATGCAGGGCATGGTCTGATGTGGCACGTACCTGTGTCGCTATTGCCTGCTGTTGATGCGCTGACATGGCATGTCGGTGTTGAGTATGTGGCAGACCTGCACTGCTGACGTGGCATCCCTCCTTGTAGACCTTTCCGATCCTTGATGCTGGCGTGGCAGAACTGCTGCGTTGGCATGCCAGGGGTGACACGTGGCATACAAAGACTGTGCACTTGTTGTTGATGGTTGCATTGCTTCTGCAGATGATATAGACGAAGCTAACCATTGATTGCGTGGTTGTGTTGGCTTTCTAATCACCTGTTGATTGTCTGTGGTTGCTGTGTATACTTACAAAGTGTGCTGTTGTCTTGATCACACTGGCCGTGGCTGCGGTACCTGTAGCTGTAGGACGTCATCACGAAAGAATAGACAGCCGAAGTTAGATTAGGAATTCATTTGAAGTCTGTTTCCTGAATCGTCGTTTATTTCTTGCTGATTAAATAGTTGGAAACCGGTGTGGCCGTGGAATTTATTACTGATTTGATATTATTTATTGTGCAGTAAAAACATCAGAGAAGATGTCTTACCTTTGGAACTCTCTGCGTTTTCCTATCTTGACTCGCTCCATCCCTTACTTTCTCTTACCTGTCTCTTTCACCTTCTTCGCTGGCGAGGAAAGTGCAGTCCAAACACGCGGTCAAATTGAAGCCCGACGGCAGCTGATGCTGGGCCATCTTCAACAGCTATTGAATGAGCTGCACGATGCTGGATCCATGGCTGAACAGCATGTACGCAGCCAGTTCGATCTGTGTGCTGCAGAAAACGAACTGAAAGAGGCTGAAACAGCTGTTCAGATGATGGATGTCAGTGCGAGAGTGCAGCGGACTATTGATCAGGGCCGAATGGCCCTTGATCAATATGTCGCCGAGGAGCTGGCGAAGATTGCTGCAGGCAAGCCAAAAGAAGAACGGCAAGTAAAAGAAGAAAGAAGGGAAGAAGTAAGAAGGCCAGAGCTGAATGAGGATACAATGCTGGCAAACATTACACAGTTGGAAGAAGCATTGAACGCAGAAAAGAAAAGGATGGATGAAGAGTGAAAAGAGAAAAAGAACAGCAAGAAAGAAAGATAGCAGAAATTTAACAGCAATTTCACTTTGAAGAAACTGATACTGACCTTGCACCTGTCCTTCACAACTTGATGGCCTATCTGGCAGATTTAGAGATAAAGATTGATCAAAACACTGCCGCGCTCGAAGCAGTGACGAGGTTAGTAAAAGGGAAAGGAAAGATGCCATTTGAAGAGGAGGCCAAGGGGAAAGAAAAGATAGAACCCCAGGACAAGTTGTTGAAAGATGCAATGAAGAAAGTGGCAACTGAAAAACCTGGACCCTTTAAGAAAGAACCTGAGGAACTGGAAGAGAAGAAGGAATCACCCACCGGAAAGAAAGAAGAACCGGTGAAAGAAGCGAAAAAGCCAAAGAAGAAAGAAAAAGTAAAGATGAAATTGTCGTTCATATATAACAACAAGAAGGATGAAAACTTGTTGTTATGGATTGCGGAAATCCAGACTTATTGTAGCACCGCTCTAGTTGAGCCTTAGAGCCAAGTCGCTTTCTCTACGTCGTGTCTAGGGGGAGTTGCTAAGGAATGGATATTGTCCGAGGCCAGTGCCGCTGGCTTCGAAGATATAGGTGAGTGGGCTAAGACCCTAACGTTGAGACAATTTCTCCAAAAGATCAAGGAGAGATTTCTCGACAAAACGACGACCGATAAGGGCTTTGACGAACTCACCACAATCGGGCAAAAGCGTTGGTCTACAGTTCAAGCACTGTCTCGTGAGGTTGATCGTCTTTTGCGGGTACCTGGATTGAACCTGCAAGATAATCACGTATTGTATATCTACTCACGTGCCTTGCCCGAACCCATCGTGGACAGCTCGTGGCGGAAGCCAAGTCTGGGAAGTACAACTATCGGCAGTTTCGCTATCTTGCTCTCCAACGAGAGCAGATGACCGCACAGGAGAAAGGTACGTACTCTTGGGTAGTGAAGTTAGGACCGGTTGGTGGGTATGGGAAGCGGGTCCTTTAGCGACAAAAGCGCCAGGACCATATGCTTGTTGTATTTGACGATGATACCGTAGAGAAGTTACCTCTCGACCAGTCTGAGGGAGGAGGTAACGGCG